ACTTCAAGCTAATAGGTTCCGGAAGTATAAATTCAATATCTTTGCTACTGACAGAATGCACAGCTGGCACAATTGGAAACACAAACCAGCCTCCAAGTTTCTGACTTTTTCTCATGTATGATATGTCATGCTCACCTTCCTCGTTCTTGTCAGATAAAAGCTCACCGACATAAAATATCTTATTAGGAAATTTCACCAAGGCAAAATCATCCTTTTTCCCAATTTTAAGGTAGTTAGGTTCAATTTCATCTTCTGGAATGCAGTCATCATTATCAGAAGATTCATCATCAAGTACCAAGTCGACCGCATCCCTTGAGTCAATACTCCAGTCATTTTCACAAGTCCTATTTATTTTTCTTTTCTTGCCCACAACTTTGTCAACCACAACTTTATTAACGTCAATTATTCCTAACTCATGTTTTAAATTTTTCGTAGTTTGGTGTAATTTTTGTTGCGCTCCGCTTTCAGCTTTCTGTTCTAATAATGTTTTTTCAGGGGTGTCAGTTATAATAGTGTTTAGTCCTTTGTCTCTTGGTTTTCCTAGGTGCAGCTTTGGGGTAACTTCTGATGGTTTCAGGAGTTATTGTAAATGATTTAAGTCGATAATTATGATTAAATGATCACAAAAAATTCGATATGTCGATCTTGGTATTCAAGTCTGCAAATTCGATTCCAAAAATTCCGTGGCTGCGTGTGATAGGAAAATGATTTTTAAGTAAAATTGTATTACAATCAATAAGTATTATTGCAAGTATCGTAACACCGACTTAAATCGTTATGTTTTTTTGTTATTTGTGACATTTTCAATTAACTACATGTGAAATTAGATCACTCACTAGTAGGCAGGAGACACTTTGTAACCCGAAGGCCCAATCTTCAAATGAGTATAACTTTTAATTGAATAGTTATTTTAAAAAACTGTTCGACAATTTTGTTCCTTAATTCATAAAGTATGTACACACCAAATTTCGTGTAATTCTCTCGATTTTCGTTGCCCGGCCAAGAATTGCAGTGGAACTTTTTTTTTTTGAAATTTCAAAAACTAATTTCAGATTCGTCATTTTCATGTTCAAAAACCCCCAGATACCAAATTTCGTCGAAATCAGAATTTTTTGCGAACCCCCAAGTAAAAACCGGATAAGGCATACCCGAAAACCTATTCAAAAACGTACCACCCATCTTTGTAAGTCTTATGGGTGCTGAGAAAAAAAAGAAGAAATTCAAACTTCACCATTTCTTTGGGGGTGGCTCTCAAACGAAACACGTTGGACCATCGGTTTATTTGGAAAAAGTGTTTGTCTTGATCCCCCCGTATCACCCAATTTTTTTTTGCATGCGGTCATGTAACACCCTGTATAAACAGCGAGCATTTGTTCTTCTTTTTCGGTGAATATCTGCCTATTGCCATAGTTTCTTACTTTTTGGACGTATCTAACTGAAGTCTGGAATTTGATACTACAAACTTCGCCAGCTTGTCTTATGGAAGAATGTTCGTCTATAACCAGCCTCACAGTCTTAGCCATGGCTTCCTTTGACGTGGCACCAATTTTTCTCTTCTTTTTTACACGAACCATTCCTAAAAATAGCATTATGTAGTGATAGTCCAGGCTATATATTTTTTTACAAGTTTTTCAGGTAGCTGGATTTTTCCGCGGGTGAAATCACGGGGGTTGAAAGTGGTGTTTTGCAAATTGTGGCAAAACTATTAATTTTAGACGAAAATGTTCAATGTAAAAGTTATAGAAATTAAAAAAATGAGCAACTTTTGTATCTACACTATTTTCACACAACCTCGAATTTTCCCAGAAAAACCGGAAAAACTGTTTTTTTCGGTTTTTATTCTTATTTTTGCGAAACAAAGTCATAGGGGTTTGAAACAGCTTGTTTTATGATTAAAAAAGAAGATAATTTTTTGGGCCCGTAAAGTTGAACCGTTTCCAAGATCTCCCGATTTCTGAAAAAACCACCTCTTTTTCAAGGGGATGAAAAATCTATTTTTTTTTCATCGTACAGAGATGCGCAGGGTAGCAAAATTTTTGGAAAGACTTATATTTTAATAAACAAAAATAAGATAATATTATTCCTATAGCAAAAATTAGAAAAAATCGCCAAAAACTGGAACAACAGTTTTAAGATATACACGGTTTTTGACACGATAAATCATCATATTGGATGTTAATAAAGATTTTTTCGAAATCTGTCTTCTTCCTTCTCTTTAATGTTTGCTTAAATATTCTCTTTTGTTATCTTATGCTCAACTGTTTTAGTTAAAACATCTTTATTATTTCTTTTTTCTGCATTTTTACCGCAATAAAAGCAATTCTAAATAAAATCGAATTATCTTGCTTCCTGATTCCTGAACAATTTGTTTTTGTTCACTGACTCTTCTTCCTGCCCGTTTTATAGCTGATGCAATTGCGTTGGGCCTGTTGATAAACTTGCAAAATCTGCAATAAGAACATTAGTTTTACCGGCCAAAGCAAATGATTTGAAATATAAACCTGGAATAAACTTCGTGAGAATTTTATTCAAAATTCCTGTAAATTAACGATCAACAGACCCAGGCGCAATCGCATCAGGTGTAAAACAGGCAGGAAGAAGAGTTAGTGAACAAAAACAAATTGTTCAGGAAGCAAAAGAATGCGATTCTACTTCGAATTGCTTTTATTGCGGTAAAAATGCAGAAAAAAGAAATAATAAAGACGTTTTAATTGAGGCAGTTGGGCACTGGGAAACAAAAGAAAATATTTTAGCAACATTAAAGAGGAGAGAGAAGACAGATTTCAAAAACTTTTTATCAGCGCGAATCCAATACGTTAATTTAGTTCAAAAAAAGTTATTTACCTACTGTCAAAAACGGTATATCTTAATACTGCTCCCCTGGTTTTTGCCGCTTTTCTTAAAATTTTTCTATTGGAATAATATTTTTTATTTTTGATTATTAAAATGTAAGTCTTTACGAAAATTTTGCTACTCCGCGCACCTCTGCACGATGAAAAAAAAATAGATTTTTTGTCCCCTTGAAAGAGAGGTGGTTTTTTTCAGAAATCGTGAGATCTTGGAAACGGTTCAACTTTACAGCCCCAAACAATTATCTTCTTTTTTATCATAAAACAAGCTGTTTCCTCCAAATTTCAAACCCCTTCGACTTTTTTTTCGCAAAAATAAGAATAAAAAACGAAAAAAACAGTTTTTCTGATTTTTCTAGTAAAATTCGAGGTTATGTGAAAATAATGCAGATACAAAAGTTGCTCATTTTTTTTTATCTCTATACATTGAACATTTTCGTCTAAAATTTTGCCACAATTTGCAAAACACCACTTTCCACCCCTTTCAACCCTCGGGATTTCACCCGCGGAAAAATTTAGCTGGTTTAATTATTTTTTCCCAATTTGTATTCATTTCACCTGCCTTAAAAACCCCGGTTTCGCGCGGTAACTAATTTTTTTTGAAAATAGATTATTTTAGAGCTCTTTAGCCTGGACTCTCAATGTGTACTACTAACTGCTGGATCGGTAAGGTAAGAAGGAACAAGAAACTTGGAATGTATTTATTTGAGGTTATAGAGCAGGGGTCGGCTACCGGCGGCCCGCACGCCGTTTCTTAATGGCCCGCGAAGTGTTTTAAATTTTACTAAATATATGGCCCGACTTTTACATTCGAATAATGTGAAAATGAACGGCAAAATTGCGACATGCATTAGAACGAACTTGAAGTATGAATCACTTCCATCCTAGAACAGCATTCAACTTTTTTTAATCTATCCCTTTTGCAAGTAGTAGTATTTTAATATTTTTTTGCTGTCGCTCCAACGCAAATTACTACATGAAAAATAACTATTTTGTACCAATTTAGGGCGCTAAAACTGTGAATTCGAATTTACATTTTCCGGGGGAGGACCCCTGGACCCCCCTTCCCTTTGGGGGGTACTCCGTACCCCCCTAACCCCCCCTGTGGCCCCTCACACGGATCACAACTACACATTCGCCCACACTTACCAAAAGGTTGCCGACCCCTGTTATAGAGCATGCATATACACATCATATGGAATATTCAAAGTTTTCAAAAATGTCGCCCATTTTTGTTTAAAAAATCTGAAACAAGAAGCTAAAGTATTTCACTGACCTTTGAATAATCACGCTTTTTAAATTTGAACTTCACAGGAACAAGATAAATGCACCACTGTTTCACCATGCACGGGTTGCTTGCTTAGCTACATTCACAGTATCTTGACACCTCTTTAAAAATGCGGGAATTTAAAAAATTTGCACTGTCTTACTGTGTCCATATTATTTATATTACATACCAAGGTAGAGAAGTATAATAATAATAATACACTTCTCTACCACGCGAAAACTTTAAATGGAATTATATCTGGCGTTTTGACTTGAAATTCTGGAATATCATTCAGGCAGTAGGGGAAAAATTAATAGTATGTACCTATATGATATACCATCCCAACGTGATATTCGGCGCCCCATCCACCCCCAATCTAAATTTGCATTTTTTAATACACAGGGTGTGGCACCTAAGATACCTCGGATCATAACTCCTTTACCATAAAAGATATCGAAAAAAGCTAAATTGTACACAATTACCGCTGGCATGTTTCTAA